AAAAAAAAAAAAAATGGGGCCTTCACTCCGTGGCCTGAGCAAATGAAGTACCCTCCTTCAGTTTCTTCATTGAGAAGATGGGCACAAAAAACAGCCCCTGTCTCAGGAGCTAACATGCACAAAGCACTGGCTGGTGACTAACTCCCCCCCACCCCCCGCCAGACTCTCTGAGGACAGTACTGTAATTGTGTCCCATTCTACAAATGAAGAGACTGGAGCACAGAGAGGTTGCGTCCTGTGCCCAAGGTCACACAGCCAGAAAGTAGCAGAGTGGGGATTTGAACCCAGTAGCCTGGCTCTGAGACCAAGCTCCTGGCCACCTGCCTAGACCACCTCAATGACTGGTGGAGGTGCCCTCCACAGCCATTTCTCCCGAGATGCCAGCCATGCTCAGAGCTTTGTGATCCCCGCCGGCAGCCTCATAACTGCCACCTGTCGTGCCCTGTGCCTCTCAAGGTCTGCCTGACGCCCACCCGGCCTGTGGTGTCCCAGCCTAAAAGCTGACTCTTGGTACGTTCATCCTATTCATTCTCATCCGGACCCCACACAAAGTAGAAACGGAGGCCCAGAAGCCCTCGTCTCATCAATGTCACAATGTCCAGATTTAAATCTCTGGTCAGTGCCAAAAACTCAGCCCTTAACCCCGGCCTACCCGGCCTCTCCTACCCTGTCTGGCTTCCTTTTTTTTTTTTTTTTTTTAATATTTATCTATCTCTCTCTCTCTCTCTCTCTACCTGAGAGGAGAGAAAAGCCCAGGAGGGGCAGAGAATCCCCAAGCAGGGTTCTCTGCCAGTGCAGAAGCCCAGTGACTCCCAACTCGGGAACCCCGTGAGATCATGATGGGCAGGAATCAGAATGGGGCTCAACTGAGCCCCCCCAGGCAACCTCCCCTTTTAAAAATATTTATGGCCTCCCAACCCTCACCTTGTGGGTGCTGTTCTTCTGGGTGCCCAGGGCCTTGACTAGAGCTAGGCTGGGCTCCACCCGAGCTGCCGCCCTTCCCACAGGTTGGCGTTAGATCTCGGGAGCCTGACAGACAAAGTGTCCCACCCTGGAAGAGAGTGAGGTAGTGTTGTGGTCTTAAGCCCACCCCTGCCCCCACACAGCCCCTGCTTCACCTGGAGCAGCAACCTGCAGTCGATGAAACAAAGTGTCCGTCATTGGTGAAATACTCAGCCCAGCCGATCTCGACCCAGCAGCGACAGGTGTTGCTCCAGCTCAGTAAAGACACGTCCCATTGTTAAAGTGATCCTCCTCTGTGAGGCACCGTGAGCAAGTCCCCCAGAGGGCAGGAATCCCGACATCCTGAGAAGCCCACCTCGAAGCTTTCCGGAAGCCCAGCCTTCACCAGACTTGAAACAGCCCCCCACCCCGTCCCAGCCCGGAAGCCCTCACCCACCCAGGGAGGCCTGGGATCTAGCTTTGGGACCACCAGCCCACCAGCCTTCCAAGCAGGTCTAGAACAACTCACCCAGTTTCCAAAAATTGGGTAACTGGAGACTCAGTGCCAGCTTTCCCCAGGCCTCAACACTGCCCCCAACCCCACAGGGAGATGACAGCACTCAGGGCGTTAAGTCTGCTCCAACCCCTCAGGCTAAACCTGGAACTAGGACTTTTTTTGAAGTCAATGATGTAACCAGACCCGATTAGAAGTGTTGTCAAATTAGTGTTGTCAAATCACCAACAGGAGCTCTGTCAAGATGTAGGGAACTCAGCCCCAGGTGCAGAGAGTCAGTGGTATAATGGGGGCTCCAGCAGCTATGTTTATCAAGCTGTTCAGAAAAGTCTCATCAATTCAAGGTCACTAAAGCTGTCTTGTCCCAAGGGACCAATGACCTCAGGGACAGAGGCGGAAGGAGTACCGCCAGCCCTTGCCTAAGATCAGGGGCTGTAGACCCTGGGCTTGGGGGATCTGTGATTGTGGTATCTAACACTCTAAACTCTGAGCTGGGTTCCAGGGTTGCGGAAGCGGACGCTTTAGACCATTCCTCACTCTACCTAGGTCAGGGGTCTAAGAGTGAGGGCTTTGAATCACCAGTTGCTAGCTCGGCGTCTATACTCAGAGGATTCTTGCCTGAGCCCCAAGAGTCAGAAGCTGTCAGTCCCTGTGTCAACCACGGACCCCAAGCCTGAGGTCCTTGGGTCCTGAGTTCAGGGACCCCAACCCCCAGGATAAATCTCCACAGCCCCGGAACCCCAAGCATCTGGTTCCTGACGGTCCACCGGAAGGTCAGGGGCTTTGGCACCATGCGGTAACTTCTCAGCCTCCACCAAGCAGGAACAACAAGGAAGCCTGCTCAGGACTCTGCTCACAGCACCCCAGGTATCTGTCCCCTGCCCCCCAAACCTAATCTGGGCAGCTGACCCCCCCCCCCAGGCGCGCACCTTCCACCACTGGGTAGGGCATGGCGTACTGTAACGCGCGTCTCCAGAGTGACGCCGGTCACACGCACGAAGTCGCGTGTGTCTTTGCGGCAGGACGATGGAAACGCCACCAGACGCGCGCGTCTGGAAGTAGGCGCAGATCTCGAGCAGCAGCTCCGGAGCTCAGCGAGCCCAGGACGCCCTGGCAGGCGGACCAGCAGTTTTCCTGCGGCTCCAGGGCGCCAGGGGACGCGACCGGAGCCGACGAGCGCGCGGGAGGCGCTGCCGACTCGGCGGACTGAGCACGCGCGGGCCACGTAGCCTCGGCCTGCGTCGGGGTCAGATGAGCTCCGGGTCGAGTCATCGTCCCAGCAGGCGCGGGGATCGTCGCGAGGCCTGGGGGAAGCTCCATGGCACGAGTGGGCGCCGACCAGCTACGACCCCTGTCAGCCGACGACCCCGCGTCCCCGTCTCCTAGGCAACGCAGGCACTTCCGGCGCCGCCAGCAATGATGTTACCGCGCCAACCGGAAGCAGTGGCGCGCGCAGAGGCCAGCGGACAACCGTAGGACCCCACTGTTTGAGGCTCCACGGTACAGTCCGTGGGCCCTGGGCTGGAAAATGTAGATTCCTGCTCCCCGGCGTTGTTAAACAGGCATCTGTGGCGGGCTGTGTAATACAGACAGCCAGCCGACTCGGTTTGACGCGGCTCGGCCCAAAGGCATCGCTCACAGGGAGACACTGGGCCCAGAAATGCAGTCTCTCTTCTGAGTTCAAATCTGGGGGCTTTTATAAAGGGATAACTCCTGTCTCTCCTTCCAGGCAAGAAAGGTGCAGTGTGCTGCAGGGTGTCCTCAGTGAAACAAATCTCTATAATCGTTATTTCTCTTACTTACTGAAAGCCTCTTTTGAGCCAGGCGGTAACCGAGCCACATAAAATATCCCGAGCACTGCTGTTTTCTCTGCCTCACTCTTTTTTTTTTTTAAATGTTCATTTATCTTTGAACAGAGAGAGAGAGAGTACCAAGCAGGGGAAAAATTTGAGAAGAGACGCAGGAATGGGATGCAGGCTCCAATGGGCTGTCAGCACTTTGAAGCTTCCATGCAGAGCTTGAAATCAAGCCTCGAATCATGACCTGAGCAGAAGTCCAGGATGCTTAACACGGGTTACCACCTTCACAGTGAGGGCCTCCCCACAGTGCCCTACGGTAACATGACCATTTCCCAATGTCCCCTCCCCTCTTTCTCTATGGGACAGATCACTGTTTGCACTGCTTATCTCCTGTGCCCTCGCTAAATGTGTGTTGAGTGGATGCTGGATGTATGTCGGTAAATAAAAGCATCCCCCCAAGATGATGCACGTGACTTTGGGCCCTATTGAGGTTACAACAAGATTGTATTCTGAGGCTGTGTGTCCCCAAGAGCTTAACTTGATTTTTCATTTGCCTCAGTAACTGTCACTCCGCCACTTGCCACACCTCCAGAGGCCTGGTGCTGACTTTTTTAAAAACATCTAACTGCCCCATGACCGGGAGTTATGGGGTTGGCTGAAGAGTGCTGCAAGGCTTTGCCCATAGTTGGTCCTAAGGCAGATGGGGATCTGCAACTGCAGAGCTCCCTTTTACTGAATTCAAGAGACCAGTACATTCTGGAGAACACACACTACATGTGTATGTTAGGACATCTAATCTTAGTCATTCACTCACCCTTTCCATTTCACTGAAAAGAAAAGGTGAAGGCTCCAGGCCACCGAGAAATGTGCCTGTCGTGTAATGGTTACCTACTTCCCTACTCAGCCAATGGTTCCTGAGTCCTGTGCATCCTACTTCCTAAAAGCGTCCCAGGCGACCCCTCCACGTCTTTACTGCAAAGCCGAGGATACAGGAGGCTGGATGGAGACCAAGTGTTTCTGCAAAAAACTGATCCTCAACAAAGTTCTACACAAGTGGAATCTCAAAGCCACCTCGGCCAATCCCAACGACACAGTAACAAATGGACAGACCTGGGCCCGTAGGAGGAGGAGGGGAGGAAGAGGAGGAGGATGTAAGGGGAAAACAGAGGAACTGCAGATCAGGGGCAGTCGGTCTGCAGCCGGGCAGGAGGAAGAGTTGAGAAAGCTGAAACTGGATTTTGTGCAAAATCAACCAAAAATAAATTAAAAAAAATTAAGTAGTTTTCTTAAAAAAAAAAAAAAAAGAAGAAAAGAAAAGCTAGAACCAGGCTCCCTTTCTGAATTGGCTGGAGCCCCCCATCCTGGATGGAGAAGGGTTACCAATCCCAGCAGCCAGCAGCCTAACCCCAAGGCCCAATGAGATGCTGACTGGATTACCAAAATTCAATGGTACCCTAATTTTTTTTCCTTTTTTTTTTTTTTTTTTTTTAAACAAATATCCAGAACCTGTTGGGAGTCTGACAGGGTAAAGAAGCCAGCTGAGTTATGAATGTGCACCATGTACCCTTGGAATGGGAGGCAGACCCGACCCTGTCTGGGAAGACACAAACCTCTTGAGGGCAGGTCAGGGCCCTCTTGAGGATGAATGGGACAAGTCCCAGGATGTAGGGGTGATCAAAGCCCCACAAAGCGACCCCAGAAAAAAGCAAGTAAATGGGGAGGAGAAAAAAGAGAGAAAACATTAAAGGGGCTGCAGGGCCGGTTCAGTTCTGAGCCAGAAGTGACCACACCCCCCTCGCCTCTGAGGTGCGCCCACACTGTGGCCTGCATCTCAACCATTTACAGAAAGGTTCCTAGAATCACTGCCCCTATCTGGTGGGGTCCTGTAGCCCGGCCCCAGAGACCATCAGACAACAGGAAGCCCCAGGGACCCAGAGAGAGAGTGGGGTCAGGGGGTGTGTACCACCTTCTCCTCCTCCAAGCCCTTCATTCCTCCTTCTTGCTGGCAAAAAGCCTGAACTTTCATCCTCTGTCCCCACCAATTAAATGCCCTGCCCAGCCTAGTGTTAAAACTCGAAACGGAACCTGAGGAGAGGAGGGGCTCTTAAGAAAGCACCATAAGAAAACAGGAGCTGCCCTTGAAAGCGGACTTGCTTATGGAGGCGCGGGGAGTGAGGTCAGCTCTGGCTGCCCCCAGCCCTCTTCAGGTCCTGGCCAGGTCTCCAAAGTCACTGGAGCACAGTGGGGGGGGAGAAAGGGCAACTACAGCCAGCCTGGGCCACTCCGGCCAGTCCCCACTCTTCTTCTGGCTGAGACACAACAAGGAGGGGGGCAGCATACAGGCCTGTGGATGCGCCGACGACGAAGTGTGTAGTCGGCGATGCGCTGGCGGAACTCGGTGACCGAACCCGGCAGGTCCTCTTCCCCGCCCAGGGAAGAATTCCCGGCCGGAGCCCCCAACACACCCAGCCCTCCCCAGTCACCAATTCCGGCAAACAGCGAAGCCAAACTCTAGATGCAGGTTACACGCAGAGAGGAGCCTTCACGGGTTAACTCTCAGAGTTCACTAATTCTACTGTCTCCATGCTTTGGTCGGGAAATGGTGGAGGCGTGACTGGCAGCCCTGGCTACAACTGCAGCAGCGCTTTGCGTGTGGCCATTGTGTACATGTGAGTGTCTGCGATGTCTCTGAGACCTCACGCCTGCTTTCCCCTAGCTCATCCTAAGCGGATGCCGATTGACCGTGTTGAATCTTCCCTCCCGCGAGGCAGCTGGCCCAGAGTGGGCTGCCGGGAAGTGACCCCGGTGTGAACAAGGGCCCTTGCTGCCCAGAACCCCTCCTGTTTGGCCAGGATGAGTGTGGAGCCCCACCCGCTGCGCCAGCTGGCCGACAGGCCACTTTACACACCGTGAGCAGGTAGGTGGGCCAGTCTGGATTTGGGTCGCTCTCCTCCCTAACCCCTCGACCAGGGCAGCGTGACTTCGGGGCCTGGCGATAGCCCCCAACAACACCCATAGCAGCGCGGGCAGACAGAAACCTGTGAGGAAAAGAAGGCGGGCTCAGAACACTCACCCTCAAGCCCCCCCTACAACAGCCACAGCGCCCTGTGGTCATCAGCCTCACCTCACCTGGCGTTCGTGGCTCATCTGGAACCCGGTAAGAAGTAGGCCAGCCTCTCCTTGGCAGAGAGGGAACTGCTCCAGAAAACTGCTGCCAGTTCTCCTCCCCGACTTAGTCTTTGGCTTACGTGGAGAATCTCTTGAGGGGAGGCCGAGAGCAGGGGTGAGAAGCCAGACAGAGGCGGCTTCGACCTCCCCCGACCATGGGGATAAGCGGCAGGAGCCACGGGGAAGCTCACCTTATAAAAACATGCCGAAGGTCATCCTTCCGGGCTCTGCAAGGCTGGCGTGTGGCAGAGAAAGAAAATAAAGTCCTGTTTCCTGACAGGTCCGTGCGAGGGCGGCGCTGAACCCGGCCCCGTGCCTTCCTCCCAGGCCTTTGCCCCAACCTGCCGCGTGACGCCCGAGGACGGCGCCTATCATCATGCAGATGCCTGGAAAGCAGTCCTTCTCCTCGTTGTCCCTGATGTTCCTGAGGGCGTGCACCTGTGGGGAGGAGTGAGCAGCAGGCAGTGAGCAGGCAGGGAGGCTGGGAGCAGGATGGATGGGCATCTGTGGTGGAGGAGGCAGAGGGGGGGCGGGGGGGGGGGGGGTCAGTGGGGGAGCAGATCATGGTGAAGATGAGGCGAGGAGTGTGCTGTGTTTCTACAGGGTGGTCCGAGGGTTCGTGAGGCGATGGGCCGGGCAAGTGCGCAAGGCGGTGCCTTTGCCCGCCCTGCCTTGACCCACCGTGCGCGGGCTTACGCGGGGAAGCACACACCAGGCTGGGATGTTTCTGTAACATGGTGCCACCTCCTGTGGAGCTGCAGTAGCCCCAGTGACCCGATGTTGATGGCTGGAATGGCAGAGGAACTCAGTCAAGTATATAACTGACGGCGGCCGGGGACGTGCGTGTAATGGCCTCTGTGCGAGAACTCCAGCCCATATAGAGCTAACTGCAAGGGAACAGAGCCCAGCCGGGGTCTCCCGGGGAGGCCCTCTCTCACCGATACTCCTCCAGAACCCACCCCTTCCACGTCCCTAGGCTTCTTCCCTATACTTCTTTCCCAGGTCTCTTGAAGCACTTCCCCTCCCGGCTGAGACCCCATCAGGTGAGAGGAGGCTGACAGCGACTCGGGCCTGGTGCCCTGTGTGTTTTCAACACTTGGCGTCTTGGGGGTGTTGTGGAAGGAGGAGGCAGTTAATGATCCACCAGGTTGTTGAGGACATCTGCGTAGGGAGCTGCCTGCCCCTAGGGGAACGGTCAGTCAGAGCCCCACTTCCAGCCCAGAACCACCCATGCGGCCTCAACTGCATCACCTTTGACCCCCCCTACACAGCCACTGAGGGAGCAGGAGGCAGTATTCTCCAGCTGGTCCCCGCTCAGGACCCGTGGCCAACCAGGGGCAACCTTCAAGCGCCGGCTTCCCTTGGAGTGCAGCTTCCAACGGCGTGAACACGGCGTTGCTGGGAGAATTCCCTGAGGGGGGTGGGTGAGGGGAAGGAAAGCATAAAAGTCTCCCAGCCAGCATCCCAGTCAGACACGACTTCTTGTTGACTGGGAGGTGTAAGGATCCAGTCCAGAGCAGGGCACGCCTATTCACTACCTCTCTGAAGGCAGACCAATCACAGGTGACCTTTCAGCCTTGTTTGAGTCTCCAGCATCATGAGAGAAGTCCGCGCCCAGACCAGCCTGGGCAATCCTCCAGGGAGGCTTTGCAGGGGCTCTCCTACTCCCAAAGCCTGGCGGAGGCACTGATGAGGGGCCTGCCCACCCTCGAACACGAACCGGTGGGGAGGTGACAGCTGGCGGGGCTAAAATGTCATGCACAGCACACTCACCCATCTGCATGCAGATCTAAGCCGTCAGCCCAGGAGTATGGTGACATTGCAGACAGAAGTGAACTCCTGGGGTTCAGGTGTGGTGCCAGGATGGGCATGAACTCGGCTGGTGAGGGGAGAAAAGAAGAGTGCTGGGCAGGGGGGGGCCATGGGAGTGAGCTCCCGAGGCCTGGCCGGGCAGACCCCATCGAACGATATGAATACATCGATTTGACAAAACATGTCCTACTCCCAGGGGTGGATTTCTCCATCACTCGAGGCCAGGGGCTGGGGTCTGTAAAATTCAGATGAGCGTCATGCCGATACAAGGAGCTTGGCGGATGAAGCAGGCACTTTGGTGAGAGGTCTCCCAGGAGGCGGAAGGAGTCTGGGACCTCAGGCATGAGTCTGGGGGTCAAACAGAGGCTACAGGCGTGGCAAATGCCCCTCCCATGGCTCAGCAGGGGTCCCCAAACTAATCCTCGGCAGGCCAGCTGAGGGAGCAGCCCCTGGGCTTGACCGACCCCACCACCTCCCATCATGGAAGCTAAAGGCCCCATCACTGGGAGCCTCTGAGGGGCCGTGAGCTGAGAAACTTAAGCTCAGTACACGTATAGGAAGGGGGCAGGGGTTAACTGCTGCCCGTCAGAGAGGCTTACTGACAGAAGTGCTTTATAAAATAAGTTGGAGAACACACCTATTTCCTCTTTCTACCCCTTTGTTTTAGGTGCCCAGCCAATCTCTGTGCCCAACAGACTTGAACTCACTGACCCGGGATGCTCCTCCCAGGACTTCAAACCAGCAGGGAGCTCACTTATTTTTCAGCAGAGATTTTACTCATATTTCTTTGAATCCTTTTTAAAATAAGTACAAGCTTTTTTTTTTCCTATGGTCCCTTTCTCCTGTTGTCAGGGGCACACCCGGGCCGCAAAGTCAGGAAGAGAGCTTCGGCCATGCCACCACCACAGCTCACTGGAAGGCTGGCCAAAATCATGATGTTGCTGCGGGCCACCAGCTGTCCAGCGCCCAGGCCTTCAGCCAGGCATTGAAGCAGGAACCAGTGCCCGCGATCGCCGAGGTGATCACTTAATGGGGAGCCTCCGCCTCAGGGGGTGCTGGGTGTACACTCTGAACTTTAGATGGGGCAAGCCGGAAATGAGGCCGGGCCGGGCTAAGGGCAACCCCGCAGAAAGGGAAGCGGGCTGAAGCTTGGGGAGGCTGAGAGGAGGGGAGTGGTCGTGCTCACCATGGCCTGGAAGGGTCTTCTGCACCAAGGGTGACATGGCAGCATGGGCCTTTGTGGCTCACGATGGGGCAGGAAGCACGCAGCTCTGCAGAAGCTGAGTGGCTTACAGGCTGACAGAGCACTGGTGGGGAGGCTGGGAAGGCAGGAGAATTGAACTCAGGAAGGATGGGGGCGGGGCTTTGGGAGAGGGGGGCCTGGAGGCCCACCACACCTCAGCAGGGGAAGGGTCCTTGTCTTAGTCAGCCTTGAGCTGGTTCCACTTCTGCTCAGCCCAGGAGGCATCAGCTTCTGGATGTATTCCTGAAAAGGAAAGCTGATGAAGTGAGAAGGACCCCCACTGCGGGGTGGCAGCCACCAGACCCATGAGACTCTTAGGTGACTCAGAGGCACCCTGCTCATGCCCGATGATGAGGTCTGGGCTCCCTTGCTGTGGCTCTGGTCTCTGGGGGCCTTGCCATCCAGCCAGGCAGGCCCCTTCTGGGTCCCTGGCCGACCTCCCTCTGCCCCCACCGGGCCAGTCAGCAGCTTTCTGGTTTCAAGGCCCCTGAGTTTTCCCCAACACAGCACTTGCCACACACTGTCGCATAACCGTTTCCCCGCTAGACTGGGGCTGGGGTGAGGCGGGGGCCAGATCCGTCTGTGTCTGCCTCTTAGTCCGCGACCATGTCCCCGGTCGCGCGACCGCAGTTGCCGCCAGGTCGCAGACATAAAGTGGCGTGAGATCAGAAAGGGAGAGGTGCCGTGGGGAGCCTCACCGGCTGGTTGAGGTGGTAGCCCTGAAGTCAACCAAGTGCAGGCTCGCGCATAGAGATGACAGGTTCTTGTACTGATTGCAAGAAAGCGAAAACAGTGTCAGAGATATGTGAGAGTAGGGCACAACTCTGTGACCTCCTCCTCCAGGGTGAAAACTGGGAGGCCTAGGGAAAGAGTTCAAGAAGGCGGCAGCCACAAGGCTGAGGCTGGGCCTGGGTGGGGCTGTGGGGAGGGCATGGGGATCAGCCAATCTGAATATCGTGAGAAATCAGCGTGGCGTCAAGGTCAGGAGTATCATCACTTCCCAGGAGGCAGCCAGTGGGGCGGGGGTGGGGGGCTGTGGGGTCAGCTTGGTCACCTGCAGGCAGCCTCCTGCACCTCTTGTTGCACCATCAGGATGGCTTGAGCAGCTCTCTCTGTCAATCAGGGGAGGCTTGGGTGCATGTCGGGTGGCTGACGAGCCTGCACGGAGTGGGCATGGCGGCTCGGCGTCCAGCAGGCTGGGCGGACCGGGGCCTTCTTGTCAGACAGGCACTGGATGAGGTCTTGAGGATCAGCTCGGGCAGGTAGGGCACCATGCCCTGCATGCCTGCAAGCTTTTTTACTCCAGCACAAGAAAGGGCAAGCCTGAGGCCCAGCTGGGCTGGCCACACCTCACCCTGCCTGCAGAAGAAGGAAAGCTCAGTGGCACCTGCCACCATGGTGAGAGGACACTGAGGCGGAAGGTGAATCTGAACATGATGGCTCAGTCTGAGAAGCGGTGAAAGGCACAGCCGATGGGGAAGCAGCGTCAGGACAAAGCCTTCCCCTCACTGGCTCCACCCGTGACTGTCACTCATTACAGATGGCGGGGCAGCGGTGACCGGTCCCGGAAGTAATTTTCCTTTTTCAACCTGGGCTCTAAGCCCCAGCGTGGAACTCGAACTCTGAAGAGCCCAAATCAGAAGCTACTGCAGCCCCACTGAATAAACCAGCCAGGCACCCCAAGTACTTTTCTTCTGAAACATTTCTGGGGTATTTGTGTACTACTATTTTCATCTTTTTTAAAAAGAAAAAACAAATGAATCTCTTGTCGGAGAACACAGATAACTGCATCGCCATCCTAATGATCCAAGACAGAACTATTTTTACCAGTTATGGGTCAATCCTGAACCCTTTTCCACTAAGAAACTGGGGCGCCTGACATAACCCGTTAATTCACATTCCGTGCTAACGTAACACGCTCGTTGGGCGGTTATGTGATGTTTCATGAATAAACTTTAAACACGGCTCACGTTGTCGTTAATCTGAACCTTTATGAGAGCCTGGGGAGGCTGGCCGGGCACTGGTGACGCCTGTAACTCAAGCGCTGTCGTCCCACCCGGGGATGAAGGGCATAAAAGCGCGGCGGGACAGAAGGTCGTGTAAACACCTGGTCTTCTGATTCTGAGCCAGGGGAGCGGTGGCAGGCTAAACCCAGCCAGCGCCCTGGGTGACGAGCGGCGGCGACATCAATCTCCCCGCGCCCCAGTTCTTCATCTCTGGCCACCTCATCCCAGTGAACTGGCGCTGAGCCGGAGGGACGGACTGCCAGCGATGGGGCAAGCGTTGCAGGCTGCGCTATTAAGCTTTCCTATGTGTGCGTGCAGGCAACCTCGCCGTGGCCAGCTGTCTGTGTGAGGGGAGTGAGTGAGGCGTGCACTGTGGGGTTGGTTGGTTCCATTTCAGGCCGCGGGCGTGAGGGGAGAACTCATCCCAGGCTGTCTGGAGGCGCCCAGGGCAGGCCTCAGAGAACCTGGGGGTGGCGTGTCGCCCAGGTGCTGTGTGCTGGCCCGGACACAGCTTCCTGCCTGGGCATGTTGTGCCGTCCAGCACGCACCAGTGAGGGGGCTCAGGGGGGCCAGGCCCCTACCAGAGCAGGCAGGAGGCACTCACCCTCCCTTGATAAGCGCCCAGCACCAGGATGCCCGACTCTTTGACCACCCACTCAGGGTGGAAAAAGGCAACAACAGGGGAGAAAGGTGGGGTAACGCTCTTGAGGAAGAACGTTGGCCAGGACGATGTCATGCAACTGCCGAGCACTTCCCTGGGGCAGGGAGGGGGTGGGGGGGGGGGAGAAAGCAGGGAGGAAGACTCTTTGGGTGGCTGCCAGCCTCCTGGACGTATCCCAGGATCGAGGTCGTGATTAAGTGATGCGATCTGCTCTCAGAGAGAGCCTCATCTGCCTCCCGAGGCAGCCTGGGCTTCCTGCCCCGACCCCCAGGCCCCACAGGCCAGGCCGCGCGCACTCAGATTCCAGTCGGACAAAAGCATCGTGGTAAATGAAGTCATCGTCCTCTCGTCCTCCGAGCCATCCAGGCAGCTCGGCCTCATGGGGCAGCGTCTGCTGTCGACTTATGGAAAGCGTGGCTTGTTGTCTGCTGGCTGTCGAGGGGCCGCCTGTCTCCTCTTCACGTCCCCCTGACGGAAGGCGGACGAATCACTAAGCACCTGCAGGGCCCGCGGCCCCCCAGCGCCCCAGCCCTCACCTGCCTGTTCCGCGCCCGGTGACCCAGACTGACCTTGAGCAAGAATGATGTCGTTCTGAGTACTTCATCCCGTTTACCAGGATGAGTCAACCTGTGAGGAGAGGGGAGGCTACATTCACTGGGATGGGGCCTTGGGGGGTCCCCAGGAGGAGCCTCCCAGCCTGGGCAAAGCGAGCAACAAAAGGAGTGAAAGAAAGGGACAGTGTGTGGAACAGGGCTATTATCCCAACCCTAGTCAGCAACCATGGTGCCTGGGACAGAGCTGACCTTGTCCTGGCTCCCCACAAGGGCTCTTGACCCAGCCTGGCCACTCAATGAGAGTCCCAGACCCTGAAAGCGCCAGAAGGCTTCAGCGGTGGCGAACCCCTGGCATGCTGTAGGCTGGGACATGAGGCCCTTCCCTGGGACGGGGCCAGATTAGAGAGAGAAAAAGAAAACAGGCAGGGCAGCCAGAAGCCTCAGCTGATGCCCACGCACCTCAGGAGAAAATGATTCATGACTGGGGATAAATGAGAGTGATCCGTTGGCCAGGAAGGTGAGCCCTAGGACTTTTGCTGGGAATGCTGGTTGAGAGAGAATTTCTTATTCTGAGGGTTCCCTAAACTGAGAGTAAGCAAGAAGACCACAGCACTACCATGAGGGAAGGTGGGTGCCTGAGGACAAACCAGCTTACACGAGTAGGTCTATACACAGAACATCCTCTTTGATATCCTTTGGCACCTGGATCCATCAGCTATGCCTGCGGCCTCTGCTGATTTTTCATTTCTTTCACCTATAATTGACCGCGCATTTAAAAAAAAAAATTTTTTTTTTTAACATTCATTTTTTGAGAGACAGAGAGAGACAGGCATGAGTAGGGGAGGGGCAGAGAGAGGAGACACAGAATCCGAAGCAGGCTCCGAATCCTGAACGACAGCACAAGAAAAAATGCAAACTCACAGAAGTGTGAGATCATGACCTGAGGCGGCGGACGCAGCAACCCACTAAAAGCCACCCAGGAGCCCCCCATTTTAAGTCATTGGAAGTGTCGCCTGCCAACCAAGCATACAGGGATCGAAAGTAAGTGGAGACAGAGAACACAGACAAGAGACTAACACAGGAACAACCCAGAGGGAAGGCAGAGTACAGCAGAGGGGTGGGGGCTGAGGTGGGACACAGAGAGGCAACAGTGGCACTCCTGGACCAGGTGGGAGGCCAGGACTTCCTTGCAGATGGGCTGCTTTCGACCGGCGTCAGCCAGAGAACTCTGAGCCTCCAGAGCCCTCATGTCGTGGTCCTGGGTCCTCTGCGGCATGTACTAAAGGGTGGGAAAAGGCTAAGGCCTGGCCCAACCGGGTGAGCCTCCCAGCCTGCAGCCCACCCACAACCTGCGCCCGGGGCACAACCATGCACACCTGGATGATGCTGTGCATGGGGATAAAACCTGTCGATCCGCACTTCAACAACACATCCGCCACCAGAGACACCACGGCACCGTTCTTCGCACCTCAGGGTAAATTAGATCCCGCGGCCAGGGCGAACGTTGCTGCAGGGAGGGTGGGATCAGCTGCAGCCCACGGCCCTCGGCCCTTGCCCTGCTCACCTCAGCCCGACAGCCCACCACCGATGAAGAAGGTGTGATGTTGTCCATCAGCGCCTGAGCCCGGTCCGCGATGAACTGGTTCACAGGCTATGGCATAAGGACCCTGGCAGGGGTACATGGGTCGGCCCCTGACTCATGCCCTCACTTGAACCCCACCCCACCCTGGGAAGCCACCCACGGATCTTTGGGCTGCAGTGCTTGGCATATGAGAACAGGGATCATGATGTTGAGGGCCTGTTGAGAACCTCGCTGTCCAGGAGCTCAGATGAGTCTTGCCCAAGATCTTCTGCAGGAGCTCGAGCCCCTGGGTGGAGAGGAAGGCAGGCAGGATCATGAACTAGTCCCGGGCTCTCCCGGCTCCCAGCCCAGGCAGGCCAGCCGGTCACCTACCTGCATAAAGTGTTGTAATCTTCCGAGTTGGTTGCACAGCTGGGCAGCAGCTAGACCCATCGCTTCGCCATATGGAAAGCGATGGTGGTGATGAAATGCCCTGGGGCAGCGGGAAAGGAGACGCCGCCCTCAGGCTGAGTCTTGAGCCTGCCGGCGCACCTAAGCTCATGGCTCACAGGCTGTCAGTTCGCGGTCCCCAGAAGCCCCTACAGCTCCTTTTAGAGATCCTGAACCCTACCGTAAACCAGCTGTTGCAGGCCGGGAAGCAACACAGAGCTACATACAAAGCTTACCCTTGGGAGCAGACTGCCTAATGAGAGAGAGGCTCGGTAAAAATAAATCAGCAAAAGAACTGGGAGGCTAGATGCCAAAAACTAAGGGGAGAAAAGCAGAGAAGAAGATGTGACAGCAAGGGCTGAGAGTGAGGGCAACTTGCGTTTTTTTAACAAAATTTTTATAGGAAGCCTGGGTGGCCTCAGTGGGGTTAAAGAGATGTCGACTTCAGCTCAGATCATGATCTCCTTAGTCCATTGATTCCAGTACCTTTGTCGGGCTCTGTACTGTTTCCTTCGAGCCTGGAGCCTGTTTCAGATTCTGTCTCCCTCTCTCTCACCCCTCCCCCATTCATGCTCTGTCTCTCTGTCTCAAAAAATAAAGAAACATTAAAAAATAACTAAAAAAAAAAAAAAATTTTATAAAGTTGATTTTAGTTTTTGATAACTCTACACCCAATTGGGGCTAGAACTTCTGACTCAGTCAAAATTAGAATCTTCTGTGGCCGGACCAACCAGAACCCAAAACAATATTATTTAAAAAAATTGGCGGAGC